ATCTTCTGCCCGCACCTTGTTTCCTGGCTGGCTGGCGTTTGGGTGGAGGGCATATTGGCGTGATTTGGTTTTATCCCTTTTTCGTATTTTCAACTTGACCCTCTGTCCCCTCCCCGTCCCCTTGGTGGATGCGCGGTGACTTCTGGAGAGGAATTACTATGCTTTGATGTATCATTACGGGAGGGTGAACAGAGGGATATAGAAGAGAAAATTGTCAAGTTTAAAAGTTAATCCTCAAGTTTGGCCTGCCCTGGATATTGTGATTGCTAAATGAGTTGAAATCGTGACCATGAATCGTCGAGCAACGTGATATCTAGTCCATTTTCTATATATACGAGTTGGGTTGAAGTATTTGTTGATAGTCAGCTTATCGTAGAGGAGGTACAAAGATCAAGACTATCCTAAATTTATCCTAAATTTACCCAAACTTACTAAATTTACCCGAGTTAAGTAAATTTAGCACAAAACTTGGGCAATTTTAGGGTCCATGAATTTTGAAGCTTTTAGTTGTTTTTATGTTCTGAGGCCAGCCACCCCTAGTTTCTCAGGCCAGTACAGCCGGCAGAGTCTTCAGGTACACAATCAGACGAAGCACTTTCACCAACACAGCAATATCAGAAGGAAAGGGGTATATTCATAGCGATTGGGTATTTTCCATGACGTTAAGGGATCATCCAGAAACCATCCTCATTAAATGCTCATCTGAGCAAACCAAGGGTATCCATCACCAAAAAGAAAAGGCACAAGACACCACCCCTATCCACCACCACTCCCTCGATAGAAGAAGAAAGTAGAATACATACACTAAAATTGAAGAAGCGCAATGAGCGATGGCGGTTGTTGTTGAGATGGGCATCAAAGTGCAGCGTCGAAAACAAAAACGTGACAGGCCATTCAGTTGAGTTAGACGGGCAAAGCTGGGGTGTAGCTCTGATGAAAACAAGAAGAGAGCAGTCGAGGCAATGCTTCCGAAATCAAGTAGACCAGGCTAGAACCCGAAACGGGAACCCTCAAGCGTTAGCCCATTGCCTCAAGTGATACGCACGATGGAAGAACGCCGTGATTAGATGTTCTCCACGACGCGGGCGTTCATGGCCTGTTGGAAACCTGGGTCCTGACCTCCAAAGTCATTTTCGTTATCCAGGGCACGAGCGCTGGATTCGCCAGTCTGGTTGGCCATGGCGGCGTTGAGAGCGTTGCCCATTGTCTGATTAGCAGCAGGTAAGAAGATAACCTTGCTGTTAGCAGACTTGGCCATGGCTTGCATAGCCTCGAGGTATCGGATCTGCATGGCAGGAGCCGAGCTCAGGATATCGGCAGCTTGTCGCATAAGCTTGGCGGATTCGACCTAGGAGTTATGTTAATCATGTGTGGCCAAGTGAAAAATGATTTAGAATGTTACCTCAGCCTTAGCGGCAATGATCTTGCTTTCACCGATACGCTTGCTCTGAGCAGCCATGGAGAGTGACTCCTGCAACTCCTGGCTGAAGACAATATCCTTGATGAGCATGCTCTCGACCTGAACACCCCATCCAGCGGCAACGTCTTCAATGATTTCTCCAATGGACTGAGCAATCTCCTCACGGCGCTCGATGACATCCTGAAGAACGCGAGCACCGACGACGTGCCGGAGAGTGGTCTGAGTGCGCTCCATGAGAGCCTGCTTCACGTTATTGATACCGAAAGCAGCCTTGTGAGGGGAGACAATGTGGTAGTAGATAACTGAGGTCAAACGAAGAGTAACGTTATCCTTCGTCATGCAAATCTGCTCGGGCACCTCTGTGGTCTGAATCTTTACATCGATCTGAATAAGTCGCTCGCTGAGAGGGTTGATATTAACCAGACCAGGATCGACGGCCTTGTAGAACTTTCCGAACTTCGTGACGAGACCGACGTTGCCCTGGTTGACCTCCTTGAAAGGGTTAGGGCAGATGATGCAGCAGGGAATGGCACCCATGGTTCCAATGATAGTTCCGAGAGCGTTCACTAGAGGTTTTAGCCGAAGTGTCAATACCAAGATTTCCTTGTTACTTACTCATCGAACCATACCAGCCCTTGGGGTTGGCATCGTTCTCAACAACAGTCGCATAACTGCGCTGGAGATCTTCTTTCTTGGGAGGCTCAACTGCCATCTTGTGCTGTGCCATGAAGCCTCCGTTGCCCTCCATCACAGGAGCCTTAGTTGGGTTTGCGGAAGAGCTTCCGCCGTTGATCATGCCCTCAGTGGACGACATTGTGAATTGTGAAGTGTGTTGTGCTGTGTTGATTCGACAAATGGTTGGCTCGAAAGCTGTTTAGGGTTGATCAAAGAAGTTGCGAGATACTCGATGATCGATGTTGTTTTGTTAGGTGATGGAATGTCAGTGACAAGATGCAAATGTTTCACGTTGGAGGTGGGGAGAGGGTGTTATTTAATGTTGTCGGGCAGGTCCAACCCACCCTCAAGCTCAGCTCATACATCCTTCCTTCAGAGCTACGACCTAACGCCAAGTCAATGAGGTGACGTCGACCCCATTGGAAGTCGCACCCGGCACAACCCAAGCTTCGTGCAGTGCAGGCGCAGGCATCAGGGAGCAAGAAAACTTCCGACCTGGAGGCAAGGTGCCAAAAATGACTAGTCTAAGGCCCACTAAATCTATCCTAAACCTACCTAAATATTTTTGTCATTTAGACTAATGTTTCCTAAGTTTTCTTGCCCGTCTACCCCTGTAGCCTGGAACCCTGAGCTGCACCAGACAGGTGCACAGGTGACACGGGGAAGGAGCGATCTACTTTCCACACCGTGAAGCCCGCGTGGCATGCAACCCCCTTGGCGGTGATTTATGATTCGCCTACGTGATCTTACCGGAAGGGACTTGTGGGGCGCAAGGCTTGGAGGTGCCGCTAGGGTCCTGAATGAGAAAGAGCTCTTGATTTCGTCGCGGGAATACGACCAACGCGATGAGATACGTTATGGGACGAGGCATTGTCAAATCAGGAAATGACAATCACAAGCCATTTGAGCGTTTAACCTGAACTCTAACGATGGAGGGTTCGTCAGTGTCGGTGTCTGCTTTCTGAATTGAACTATGGGAATAAGACACATTTGCTCAAATCCATGATATGGCCAAGACTTTTGGTAAGCTCTCGGCTTTGGTGAACCCGGTAATGATGTGCGTTGGCCAAGCATTACTCGAATGGCATACACGGTAATGACTTTTTTTTCTGCCTCACAGGGCGATGTCTTGTCACGTCAATGTTGTTGAACCGCAGTCCATTCTCGGAGATAGCTTCAACAAGACGAGAGACTAGCCCCAGGGCCAGAGGCAAATAGTGCAGATCACTGAATCTACTCCGCCTCTTTGAGGATAAACGGCCACGATAGTTTGGCTAACACTTGTCATTACGCCCGATTGTTGTTGGTTTCCATGACCGCTGGACTTTTTTTTACCCACGGAGACTCGGCAGAGCTACTGGCCGACTCTGACCAATCACATCATGAGCGCAAGGCCAGAGGAGGATAACTCGAGCGTTGTTGGACGTGTAATGTCATTGGATGAGGGACGTGTGATCAGTTGCACTGCCTCTTGGAATTGTTCCAGTCAATGTCCATCCACTTGTCATTGTTGGTCACTCTTCGGCTTGGCGATGCCGGGATAGCATTTGCTGTATCTAGAAAATGACCGGGAGCAAGAAGCCGTAGCTTTAGCTGTGGGGTGGGGATAACATTCTAGAATGATTCCCGGCGCTAACCTCTCATGTTGTCGACATCCAATATCTCCAGGTGTCGCCCAGCAGTGCCTTGATCATTTGCCACTTGAGACATCCCTCGTGCAAGTCGGGCAAGCCTGATGGTTAGCTATAGACACTTTCATGATGAGTCAATGTATTCCAAGACTAAGCTTTGGTCTTCTCAGCCTCAACCTTTCTGACGATGCTCCTAAAGCTTATGATAATATGCTCATAAATTACCAAGGACATGGTCCGCAGCTAATTTTACCTCTTACCATGTACCGTCAACCTGGCGCTTGGGTAAGACCCAGGTCTTCAATTGTTGGCCCTAAACAACTGAGCCTCAGAACAAGCTCAACCCCAAGGCAGACCGCTAATCTCTGTCTCCATCTCATCACCTGACAATCAAGGATAACTGTTGGTACAACAACTGTTAAGCTCATTGCTCAGCCTCGACACAGCCCGGGAATGTAATTGCTTAGTTCGATCCTTTACCGGGTCCGGCTCCGAAGATCTCGGCCCCGTTTTTGATGCCTGGCCGATCACGTCCTCCGAACCCCGGCCGTAGGATCGCCGCATGATGAAAATGTCATGAAATTTCCCCAGATAAACAATACGCAGGAATGAAGAGATCCACTGTTCATTTTCTAGAAAATTGTGATTCTTTGAGATTGCCCCTTTCTATTTGCATAGCCACTTTTAGATGGCGAAGGATGGTTGTTGGCTTCGAGGAACACTCATGTCAGCAGGAGAAGTTTCAAATTAATATTGGATAGTAAGGCTCAGTCTTCATAGCCATTGACCGGTGTTGGTTTCGGTAATGACCGACATGATGATATGAGTTTGCCCCCAGAAGTTTGGGGGCCATGATACAGGGTAATCTTCCAACCTGGTGTAAATACATGGAGACCGGGTCAATAGATTTCGCACGGAATCAATTGGCAATAGAGTGAGACACTCTAGCAGAGGTGGTCGTCCTTCTTCTTGATTGCTAGACCCTGTGGTTGTATGAGTTCTTGTTGTATCGCGAACTGAACATACCAGATGATTTGATGCGATAGTTGTCAAGCTAGCAAATTCACTCACAGCCACGCACAATCTGACATTAGCAATCCATTCTACAAATACAAAAACCAGCAACAAAAGCGATCTCATACTTAGCCACATCTACCAATTTTTTTTTTGGAAGAGACTGCTGACTGGAATTCAGTATCACAGACTCGCGAAAGTGTCAGGCAAGGATTGAGGAACGCCGTTACAGCCGCGTCCTTCAACAACAGCACAACCTGTCCCCTGTGGCTTAGTTGGCTAAAGCGTCCGACTGTTATTAAATAGACAATCGGGAGATCGGAAGTTCGAGCCTTCCCGGGGGAGTTCTCTTTTGCTTATTCCATGTATTTTTGATGTTGAGAGTGTCAGTTGATTCATGTCTTTTTGAGTCTACGGAAAAGTTGAGTTGCCGTTGAGTTGACGTTCGTGGTCAATTGATTGTTACTAAGGATCTACGGAGGGAGATCCTGTCTTGCTTTTGAATAACGCAACTGTTCTCGCTCATAGACAGATGCTGCATGATATGATAGGATACTCTGGCTTATATCTGTCTGTAAATTTTGAACGCTTTACTGTTTCCTTCGTATTGCATTGCCGACGGCATTGACGGTACAGTCCTTCGGAGCAAACATCAGCAACAACCAGACTGGACGTTACATCTAACTGTGATCGTTTCACCACTGTTTCTCCACAAACTCAACTCAACTCGCACTCAGATATCCTCTCAAACTCTCGATCTCTGACATCTTGCGTCTCAACTGCAGTGAAACTGCCACCCTTGCCAACATAGCACCCAATTCCGTGGCGGCCATCATCAAATCAGCTCATCCCCTGTGGCTTAGTTGGCTAAAGCGTCCGACTGTTACTTGCAGACAATCGGGAGATCGGAAGTTCGAGCCTTCCCGGGGGAGATACGATCCTCGAGATCATCTTTTTGATGTTGTGGGTAATTTTTGCACTGGGGACGACACTACGCCCCACTAGGGCTCACATATGGGCCGGGATCTTGAAAGAGGCCGTAATGGCATCGATGAGTAATGAGACTCTGTGAAGATATGAACGATCAAGTGAACCTTTCGAGTCAGTGTTGTTGTTGGAAGCTTCGATGACCTGAGACGACTTGGCTGATAGTAGGAATGTAAGATGCACTGATAATCTTTGAAGCATGTTCAGCCATGGGAACTCTTCACATAAGTAGTAGCAAACCGTCGAAACTTTGGTGCATTCCGAACAATCTATTATCATAAATTCCCCTTTGTCAATGTATTGAACATGTTGGTGCAACCTAGGCACGGCAGCATGCCACTCAATGAGGTTGCGGCGACCTTCGCCTCACCCATAATCTAACAGACCTCCACGGTTGCGCTGAAGCAACTCCTTTGACTACCGAAGGCGATGGCCAACTCTCACTTCCGGCGGGTTTGAGTTCGTAAAGGCTGATAAACACTGAGATGTACATGAGCACCTTTCTCAACGTAAACTCCGAGTCATCACACATCGTCAATGTCCCATCTAAAAATATTAGTTAGTCCTCGATTGCCATGCAAGAGGATAAACATACCTGATGGTCGGACTGTGTATGGGTCAATCTTTTGCGTCTTGACGCCGCTCTTACCCACAGTGTCTTCAAGATATCGTCCAACTTGCCAAATTTTGGAGTCTGTGAAGCTTCTGGGATCAGAGTGATGAAGATCATTCACAATATGTGCAAACGTTCCCTTTTTGAGCACGAAGCTGTCTTCCTTGTCTTTGAGTACCACGTCCTCCTTTAGATACCGCGCAGACCACCCCCCACCATATAATCTCAATGTCTCAAGGTATACTCCCTGCAGCAGAGGACATTTAGTAACAAGACCTTCCAGGTCAAGTTTCTGAACCTGAGGAGGAATCCAGACAGCACCGCCGAAATCGTTCTTGGGCTGGACGATCTTGACGAATGGTGTGATTTGTTCGCGGATTTGAGATAGAAGAACAGGGTCCTGGTACAATTCGAATAGAGACCATGAGATGAGCGATGTAGAGTTCACAGTAGTCGCCCAAAGAAGGGCAACATCAAATGCAGCGCGGACATCGATTGGCAGACCGTGTTTTCGATAAACTTCAGTCCTGGCGCGTACAAGAGGGCTGATGGTGTGAAAATCCTGCCATTTCGTCGCAGGCTCCTCATCACTAAGAAACTTGTCCAGCTCGGTATGATACTCCCGCATGAATGTGAGTAGTCTACCAAGAGCGATTCTGGCGCGTTGAGAACTTGGGAAAGGCGCCCAGACGGGGACACCCATTGTCAGCGAGTGGAAAGCATCGTTGAAGATCCACAGATGAGGCCAGATATCGGGATAGATCTCGACGAAATCTGTGCCGAAGACTGATATGGTAGCTGTTCTGGCGATGAAAGTCTTTATCAGTTCAAAGAAGTCCACAGCCATGATCTTCTCGTCTCCAGTGTCTTCCAAAAGCTCTGCATTAGCGAGACGTTCCCAGCCCATCTGATCAGTGGGATAGCTGTTGAAGGAGATTGCATCAGCAGCATTGTCGTCAAGATCCCGAAGGGTAGCCTTGGCGAGGGCATCGAGGTGAGAACCGCTCAGGAACTCCTTGGTGATTTGATACACCTCAGGAGCAGCTTTATCATAAGCAGCAAGATCCTTCTTCGAGAGGCCAAAATTGGTCATCATAATCCGTCTCGCAACATACTCCTTATCGGCGACAGATTCCGGCTGCTCAAGAAGACGAGCCACAAGTGAAGGTCGAAACACAAAGGAGTGAATGCTCTGGAATAATCGGATTGAAAAGACACCCTCAGCATATCGATTTCTGAAGCGCGTCAAAGCTGAAGAAGGACTGAGGAAAATACGCGGTGCATGGCCAAACAAAGGAACCCAGAAGGGTGCAAGAGGAGGCGTTTTTGATCCATCCTTTCTAGAAGAAGATGAACTGCCTGTAAAGAGTCTTGTTGTGATGAAGAGGATTATGGTTGTGACGAGGATAGCTTGTAGGGGATATCGTTGGGCGTGGGGTATGAGGGTCTCATTGAGGCGTTCTCGAAGAGCCTCGAGACTGTCCATGTTGAGATGAGATCAGAAGATACTGAAGTGTTTCAGCATCGGTGATGAAGTAATAGACGATTTGGTGAAGTTGAGGTGATACGTGGTTTCGCTGCTGAAGACGCAAACTTGAGAGCTCTTGTATGGATCAGACCCGCCCGTGCTGACTGGCGTTGCTCAGCCATAAGTTGTAGGGGCTGTGCACTGTAGTCAGAGTGTTACAGTGGTTGGTGCACCACATCAGGACTTTCAATGCAATGAACGAAATGCTCAAAGAAACTCTGTCTAATATTGTAGTTCTCTATACAAGTTCAATTGTTATTAATATTTTTGCTTTCGTCCGGACGTCTCTCTCATGAACTCAGTGCTATTGACTGAACTTATACTGTCACATCAGACATATAAGCAGAGAGCCATGGAATCTCCAGGATACAAGCCAATGCAAGAGAGCAGGTAGGCAGATAGGCAGAAACATCATTTGGCACACTAGCAAGCAATTGACATATTTGTGAGACTATTTCATGGGCTGGTCTTCACAACTGCTGTCCACCAAGTGGATGTCGATGTGCCACAGCTCAAAAAATCAGCATCATAATACGCTGTACGGGAACAAGTTCTCCAACAATTAGATCAGGTTTCGTGGTCTAACGGTTATGACTGCGGATTCTGATTCCGCCAGCGAGGGTTCGACTCCCTCCGAGACCTTTCCTTTTGCTGTTTTGGATCATTATTTTTGTCGTTAGTGTTGGTGGTGCCTTATAACTTGAGAGATGTGTGGTTGGGGGTAGGCTGTATTGTCGAGTCTCTTGGCACCTTGATCCTGGGTACAAGATGCAATTGAGTTTTCCGTTTGGCCTGGCGGGAGACGATAGCTTTTTATTATCCTCTAAAAGACATGGGATTGCGATTTGAAAAGAAGAAATTCCCTTTGTCATGGTGAGGTTATGGCATAAGAGTTTCAGACTCCCAAAGAAGCTCAGCAGCCTTTATCTGTCGATGCAGAGTATGCCAGGAAGAAGCATCCACCCAGACATTTTCTCAAAGGAATATTTACGAAGACATTTCGTTATGGCCATCAAGTATTCAGGGCTTGGCTTGAGGGGTACATATACGGCGGAGTAGTTCAAGTCGGGGTTTGTTGGCGACGTTTGTCCTGGATATTGCGCGATGTTCTTATTAATTACAAGATTTCTGAAGCTGAAGTATAAGTCAAATGTTCACCGTTTGTACTTGGCCGTTTATAGCGAGAAACAACTCAATTCCACTAAAAAAGTGATCGCTAAATCTAATTGAATATTCAAAAGACATCTATCAAACAATTGCATATAATTCTCTGTCTTCCAAGTCCATTTTCATTCCTGGCCATCATTGGGTTGGCGCTCCGATGATCGGCTGCCTCAGGCCCCAACCAATTGCATCATCCGTCTGAATCTGGCAACTTACTCTTATGTGAGCTCCATCAAGTGCTTATAACAAAATACCCTCTCCCCTTTTAATAAAGAGAACGAACACCTCTTTGGCCAAGGTAAAGCAGCTACCGGATCGCAGCCAAGGTCCCTGGCAGCTCCGGTACCTTGTTGTCTCGTGCCTCTTATCGACGCGCTATCCCATCCCGCTACCCCCGCCGTAAACCACCAGACACATCCCATGATGAGCTCGATTTGAGCCGAATAGTCACTATGATACCTCAATTACTCCTGCGGTCGTCGAGGACATGTCCTCAGAGAAGTCTGGCACTTTATCGACTGTCGCCAGTGTCTCAGCGACCGGGTTTGACGCAGACATTCTGGACATGTGCCCCGCGTCGCGAACGAGCACCCACATATTCGAAAACCAAAACCGCAGCCACGACGAAACCCACGGCCGTGTTTCCTGCGCAGAAACAACCGGCGAAACAAAATGATCCTCTTGCGACGGTTGATAAATCTGCAACTGAGCAGCGTAAGGCTGATTGGGCTATCATGAAAGAGATGACTCGGTATCTGTGGCCCAAGGATGACTGGGGTACAAAGCTGCGAGTCGGTCTTGCTGTGTCCTTGTTGATTGGCGCAAAGGTTCTCAATGTGCAAGTCCCATTTTACTTTAAAAGCATTGTGGATTCAATGAACATCGATATTGCTGCTGTGGGAGGTACTGCGACGACAGTTGCTGGAGCTATGATCCTCGCATACGGCGCATCACGTATAGGCGCAACGGTATTCCAAGAATTACGAAACGCGGTTTTTGCGTCTGTTGCGCAGAACGCTATCCGAAGGGTGGCATGTAATGTCTTCGATCATC